CTCTACGAGGACGCCGCGCAAGCCGTTAGGGAAGGAAGGGTCAGTTATCCTGCTTACGAAACCGAATCATCCAATAATTTTTTTTTCATTGTTGCATTTTGATTCTAGATCAGGATTCTTCCTGCCATTCATGAACAAAAGCTGTTTGACTGGTTATCAAACAAGGATCCATGGTGTCTCAGCAGGCAGCTTTTGTGGGGACATCGGATTCCAGCTTATCGCTCAGAAGGGTAGGTTACTTCTTCTGTATAGGATGAGAATGTATGAAGCTTTTAGCGCTTGTTCCTGAGATCCGCCACGTAGGTCACTTTCGTCCCGAGTCGTACTGGCTTCACAAATGCCCGCTTGGCTTGTATGCTATGTGGTGACAGCCTCCCTAGGGGTGCATGGTTTGACTAGTATGGGTGAGAGTCGACCGAGACCTGGCTTTTGGGCCGTGCACGAGGCTAGCGGCGTCCTTGTCTCTTCAACACTTCCACTTTTTGTGAAAAAGTCTGAAAATCATGGCGATGCATGCGTGTCTGCCTATTGATAAATATGTGCGGGCATGGACAGTGCGACTGTGCTTTCCCTTGATCTCAAGTTCATATTGCTCCACTTCTATCCAAGACTAGAAAATCGCGCTTCTCGTGCTGTACGACGATCATCTCCAATTTTTCTTATCACAGTCAGCCCACAAATTCGAAAAGAGGATATGGGTCTTATTGTTTATTGGCACACTTTTGGCTCCCTCTGACTGTGATTATCCGCTCTAGTATTTTCGCCAATAGACTGTCTTTGACTGGCTGTGGATTTCTGTTTCGCTTTTTTCAGTCTGTTTTGGTGTTTTTTCTTGCCACGTCATGCCGCTGCGTTAGTGATGAGTCGGCCAGACCTACGAATCCTTCCATCTTTTTACGTACTGGCTGCTCTTTTCACATTACAGTGCCACTGCATTTTGGTAGCCTTTTCATCCTTCATTTTCCGGTATTTATCCGCAAAACAAAGATTTCCGATTAAGCTCCTCATGGTTCATTGCGAAGTCACTTGACGACGCTCGTAAACAATTTGGCAAAGACGCTGTGATAGTGCAAGATGATGATGTGTTGGACACTTGGTTCAGGTACTAGTGCTAGAACTTTTATTTCGACAAATTTTAGACTGGCTGTTATGAACGTTTTGATGTGAACCGTTTGTTGTCATATTAGGCAGTGTTCAGACTCCGCGATGACGCGCATCGACGCGCTACATTTGCAGCAGTGCTCCAGTCCAGTACCCGCTGACGCAGCCGTATACTGGAATCGATCAGTGCTGGCCGCTTGTGTCTCGAGAGAGTAGGATGTTAGGAGGGCGGGCGCTGTAATCACACGATCTGCTACTCTTCTATTCCTCTGTACTTTGCCGAAGCTCTAACTGTTATCGATACCAGTCTGCGCGATTACGCAATGCGTACCCTCCTTTTCCCCGTACTCTCTCAACACGCATTCGATGGTCGACGCAGATCGATTCTCTGCGTTCACGTTTGTAGACTTAGAGCGCTAACTGTAGCTCATTACAGCGCGCCATTGCGAAGTATAAGCGCTGCCT